ATTTTGAAATCAGTTGCTGCGTTACCTCTGTATAATTTTTTTGAAATTAATGAAGAAAAAATGTCTTCTGGATTGATGATGAGCATTTTCTAATTTAATTTCTAAGATACTTGTTTGCGAAGCCTTAGCAACTTTGGTGTTTCTGTGAAAAAAAATACCTCGTATTTCGATCAATAATAACCTTGCATCGTTAAGTTATGCATTGAATTTTTAATTCTATATTTTTCTAACTGATTTAAATTCTAGGAAACTTTCCTTTTCCGAAAATGGCTTTTTTGGCTCTTTGGTAGACAATGCGCACCTGTCGCGGTCTGTTATGTGTCATCTTCTTTTGGCTATTTTTCTCTCTCTTTCTCTTTTCCTCCCTACAAATGTCACAGACTCGGCATAGCTCTTTATTGAAAATGGGCGCCTTTATGTACATCAGTGAGTTGTGGAAGAAGAAGTCTTCCGATGTGATGCGCTTTATCCAGCGCATCCGCTCCTGGGAGTTCCGTCATCAGCACACGGTGGTGCGTCTTCGCCGCCCGACGCGCCCGGAGAAGGCGCGGATGCTGGGCTACAAGACGAAGCAAGGCTTTTGCATCTTTCGTGTGCGTGTGCGCCGCGGTGGCCGCAAGCGCCCAGTCCACAAGGGCATCACCTACGGCAAGCCCAAGACCAGCGGCATCCTCGGGATGAAGCTCAACAAGAACAACCGCGCGATCGCGGAGCAGCGCCTGGGCAAGCGTTTCGGCAACTTGCGCGTGCTGAACTCCTACTGGGTGAACATGGACTCCACGTTCAAGTGGTATGAGGTCATTGCGGTAGACCCGATGTGCAAGACGATCCGGCGGGATCCGCGCGTGAACTGGATCGTGAATGCCGTGCACAAGAGGCGCGAGCAGCGTGGCCTGACTTCCGCCGGCCGCAAGCACCGCGGACACTACCACAAGGGCCACAAGGCCTCCAAGCTCCGCCCCTCTGCCCGCGCCGCGTGGCGCCGCAACAACCGCATGGTCTTCCTGCGCAAGCGGTAAGGAATACATTTTATTGGTATGCTGGTCGAATCATTTCTACTTTTATTTAATTATTAAATAACAGCTGTGTTCAGGCACGATTTTTTTCCGTTCTTTTATGAATGCTAATAGGTGGATTAAACACTTCATTTTTTTTTCAACAGGCTACACACCAATTCGACTTTCTTTCCTCTTTATTTTTACTCTTTTCTAGGGAAAATTTACACATAATGAGCGCTCCTGCACCTCGTACCGGAATTATTGCTGGCTTCAACAAGGGCCACGTTACGACCCGTCGTGCCCGCCAGCCCAGTTCGAACGACCGCTACGGGCTTCCGCACAAGAAGCTCCGTGCAGTCAAGGCCATCATATCTGATGTTGTCGGCCTGAACCCCATGGAGCGGCGTGTTCAGGAGTTGCTGCGCATGGGGAAAGAAAAGCGCGCGCTGAAGTTCTGCAAGAAGCGCCTTGGTAGCTTCTCTGCTGCTAAGAAGCGACGCGCCAAGATGGAGGAGGCCCTTCGCCATGTAGCCAAGAAGCACTAAACCTCAGGATCCCTGCGTCAGCTTCATGACTAAAACCCTTCCTAGTTTTCCCTTAAAATAATTTAATTATTTTTACTTAATCATACAGAAAAAATGAAAAAAATGTTTTAGAATGGAATACAAGAGTGAGTGATAGACTCTTCATTTTCAGAAGCTACATCTTATTTAGACTTGCTATTTTATTCTTTTTAGTTTTTTTTTTCATTTTCCTTTTTTTAGGCTAGTGGCTTTTCTTCCCTTACAGATTCTTGGAATTGCGTTTTTACCATTTATGAGGGTAGACAATTCACTAAAGTGGTATTCACGCTCTTCTACTCTAACATATTGCACTTTGAAATTCACTAATATATCGTCGAATGCTAGACCCTGTAGCGACAATTTTGGCCAATGACCTTTCTCGACTGTGTGTGCACCGTCAGGAGGACTACGACCTTCTTGTACACATCTATCGTCGTCGTATAGCAGAGGAACTTTTACCAGAGCGCTCTGATGTATACTATGCTTTGCTATCTGAGGAGCTATGCAAACGTGAACGTTGGCATCGCCAGTGTGAAGATGCAGTGGTTGACAAAGTGACTTCGTGGAACAAAGGCGTCATTGAGAATCAGAAGGCTCTAGAGCAGGCTTATGCGGAATTGGGCTCCTTTCAATCATTATGGTGTGAGTGTATACAGAATACCTATCAGTTATGTAGAAGTGATCTCGAAAGCAGTCCCTTTGCCCAACTAGAATCCAGTAGAATGCTTTACAATAGCAGTAAAAATTCTATTGCCTCTATTGTACACGAGAAGCTTTTCCAACGCGACAAGCCCGATGATTTTCCTTCCCCTAGCATTAAGGAAAGGTTGAATGCGTTGTACCCAACTTCTCCAAAGTGTTACCCTTCTCATAGCGATAGTAGTGATGAAACATCGAATAAAACAGACAACTCTATGCTGGAAGTTGAACGCAGGCTTTCAGAGATAGGAACGAGGACGCGCGACCGCCTTTTTCGACGCCGTCGTGAGTTCCTGTGCTTCTTCGTGATATGGCTGCATACAGTGCGGCAGAAGTGTACCATAGAGGAGATGCCCATCCTCAAGCACCTCCCTGCTATCGCGGTAGAGGAACTTCTACGAGACGAGCGCAGGCGTCTAGAGGATATGTTGGCAAGGGTAAAAAGCTTTCTCTAGAGGATTATTTGCAACTGCAACTTATCCTCTTTTTTTTTTGGAGCCCTCCATAACCTTTTTTCATATTCGTTGAATAAGGTTTTCTCTTTGACATTGCATATTTTGTATATTTAAATGTAGAGCTTGGGAAAAGGGAGGCAGAGATGAAAAGTAAGTATTTATGTCAAATTGAAGAAGCGTAACTGTGGTCTTGGCCTATGATCAAGCTTCTAATTTCCTTTTTTTCTTCCCGAAGTGATTATCCTTTGAACCATTTCATTGTATCATACCTTCAAATCACTAATTGTAAGCTTTGCATTTCTCAGATAGAATTGATGAATCTCTAAGACCTGCGCCCCGTAACGTCTTTTACTACTGATAATAAAAGGTTTCTATTTATTCTAATTACGATTTGAGGGAAATTATGCAATGCGCTCACTGTGATAATTCTTCTTCGTGCTTTCACTGCCAATGCACCGTGTGTGGAGTTCGTATTGTAGAGCAGCTTCCAATGCGTTGTCTGCACTGTGCCTCTCTCACACACGTGGGCTGCGCGAGACATGCGCTGGATGGCACCCCATTGGACTGCACCCCAGATTCCCCCCCTCCTCAACCACCCGTTCGCTCGACCAGTTCTCCACGTGGGCATTCCTCGCTCTTTCCTTCTAACGGGACGACCCAGAGCGGTCCTTTCTATTGCTCACCTGACTGCGTGCTGAGGGTTGGGCTCTATGCGAACCTAAACTTCGAAGAGGCGTTGAGCTCCGTGATTGAGGCGGAGGCCGCACGGCGGTGGGCGGAGGTCGTTGCCCACCGCTCACCGACGAGCGTTGATGGCAGACAACCCGCGCGGGATTCGCCCACCCCTCTTTCACCCTCCCTTAAGGACTTTAAGGATACTGAAGGTGGACATTTTTTTAGGGTGGCGTACTTTCAATTACGCTACGAGACATGGCTGCGGTACTTTGAGCAGGAGCGTTTATTTTACGCTCACACTGTATGGCTGCCGCCAACACACTTGGCTGTCAGTGAGCCCCTTCTTCGCAATGCTAATGAGTTGATTTCCGCGGAAGGTCAGGCACGTCGGCTTTATATGCTCTCTCCTGAAACCGCTCCCGTCGGATCTGTCGTGGCGCTCCCGGATGATAAGATTTGGAAGGAAGCCAGAAGCCTTTCTGTTGGGGAAACCAACAACCATTTGGTTGAGTCCGTAGAGCAGATTAACAGGTGTACACAAGAGGCGAAAACTAGCGCAGTGCTCAGAGTTTCCGATCTCGTCAACACCAAGTCTCCGACGACTTAGATTTTTTCCTTTTTACTTCTCTATCATTGGTTAAGATGTGGCGGTGTGGAGAGCAAACTGGACCTTCTGTGATTTTTCTTCAAATTGCTATAATTCTTTATTTAAAGTCTAGAAAACAACTAAATTTTAATGGTTAATACTGATAAATTTATTATGTGAGCAGCATACTTTTTTCTATTGTTGTTTTTGCACATTTAGTCACCAAATATATGAGTTAAAAAAGAAGCATTTAAGGCTATCAAACGAGTTTCCTTTTTTATATTATTATTAATATTGCTATCAGATTTATCCCTTTTTCAAATTTTCTGATGGAATGCAGCGTGTTTTCACCGTGCGGAAGGTACCTTGTGCGCTTTCGATCTGATGGCAAAACCCGTCTCGATTTAGAAGTGCGCCCGAAGCAGTTTGCTGCGCAAGCTTCGGTCGTGAAGTTGAGTACTGAGCATGGGGGGGAGTCCATTTCGACAGCCACAGAGTCCCTTTTTGCCTCCTTAGATGAAATTCAAGTCCAGGAACTAACCACAGCGGCGGGGGTGCGCAAATCGTTAAAAATTTTTTCCGAGATGATGTACCGCGCGTTAATAGGACGAACCTCGTGCGTGAAGTTCTACGTGGAAAGGTGCGATGAAATGAAACGCCGTATTGGACTTGACATCCGTCGTCGACACCAGCGACAACCGCACGACTCTTCTGCCCCACAGGACGACCTGAAGGAGGGGGAGGTTGCCGACGAAGTGAACACCACCCTCAACCTCAGCCTCAACAGCGACATCGCGGAGGATATTCTCTCGCAATCCTTTTTTACCATGGACTATGACGTCGACTTCACACGGGCGGTCTTTCCAATCCCTCTCGGGCCCGTACGCGAGGGAATCCCTACCTCGGATAGCAACCCCCAATCGCGCGCTTTGACAGCGACCACGTGTGGGCAGTCCACAGCCGGGGGTTCTACAACAGGGGGCCCCACAAACCCCCGGAAGGGGCCATCCGCCTCTTCATCCTCCCGCGCGTCCTCGCCAGGGGTTCTCGAAGGGCGTCTGAAGGAGGCCCTCCACGCGCTGGAAAAGGCCCGTGGCACCAACCACAAGCTCCGGCGCGAGAACGAGACGCTGATCCAGCTAAGCAAGGAAAAGATGCTCGAGATGCAACGCCTGTGTGAGGACTTCCAGTCCCACGTTGGGGCTACCGCGGAGCTGGAGAAGCTCCGCGGGAAGAATACCGAATTGCGCATGAAATTGCGCTTGGCTGAGGAAGAGCGCGACGCCGCCCGGGACGCACTCGAAAAAGGCCGCGGGGAGCCATCACGAGGGCTTCATCGCAGGGGGTCGAACTCGTGCGCGAGTCCTCGCCGAAGGTCGGGATCCTCGGGGGGGGGAGCGCCGCATCTTGTACGGCCTCGCGGCGGCGGCCGACCCGCTTTGACACTCCCCCCGCCTCCGCTCCACGATCAGGGCGAAGGCGAGGGGGAGGGGGGGAGGCGCCCGCGCCGGACGGCCGAACGGGTGGCCGCTCTTCCCGAAAGACCAGCCAGCGCAGTGAAGATCGACTTAGTCAGTGTGGGTCGTCCGCCTCCTCGCGATGCCCGAGCGTTCAGCATGAGCGACTCTACCGCACGCCCACAGTCAGCAGCCAATTTCGACAGGCATTTCAATCTCCCCTCAAAAGACATGACAGTGGTCGCTCTTCATCGCGTCGCGCGGTATTTCGCTAATTTACCGGTTTACACACTGTTTTTGATAACTCAGAGGGTGTACAAAAAATTCGGTGTGCTACGCAGTGGTGGTTGTGCTATTGGCTATACACTCTTATTGAAATTCATAGAACTTGCAGCCGATAAGAAAGAGCCTGATCTTTTAAAAATATTTACATAATCGTTAAATAGATTTATTATACTTTCACCAAAGTATTTAGATACACTTCCTTTTTCTTTTTTTATTAGAGGTATCGACGTTTCTATAAAACTGAAATTTCAAGCCCCTGGTTTAGAATATAAATATATCTATAAATATATCTGTCAACAATAAAAAAATGCATTGAATTATTTCTCTCTCTTTGCTTTTGAGTGTAATATTTTCTCATCATAGTATCCTTTTCAATGCTCCGTTCATCGTCATTGAGATGGAATATTTTTAAATACCCTGGGCGGAAATCATTGGATGAAATTGTGAAACTTAGTCTATTTGAAGCGGAAAATGTGCAACAAGTCGCCAAGATTTGGAATTTCCATCATTCACAGTATGTGCAGTACTGGGGCCGAGTCATCACGAGTGCAGCTTATTATGCTTTGGAGCCTCGACTTCGGCAGAACCCGTACTTTGTGATTCCTGTTTTTCGTGAGAAAGGCCTCTTTAACGTGGTCACAAACTTCAAAGACGATCTTGTTGGTGTCGCGCCTCTAGGTGAGTGGCAAACAAAGCAAGACAACACCCAGATTCACATGACAATTCAGTTTTTCACGGAGTTGGCGCACACCAAGAATATTGTATTAGTACGCTGTGAAATCAAGGACACAGTGTTTGTGCGTACAGATTGCATATTCTTGACTCAGATGCTCTTGAAATACTACACCCTTCCAAGTCTATATGAGACTTGGGTAGAAACCTTTAACAAGCACCCCAACCGGTTTGACTACCACGCCTATCTGCGCGCCATGAAAGAAGAGGCTCACAAAGATAATATCAAAATTATGGACAAGAAAACAGCTTTAACTTATGACGCTTACGGGCCAACAATAGACATTCCACCCGATGCTATAGCCTCTAAAATCCTCGCTGAGAGTCAAAAAAATAAGTAACAAACCATAGAAACGAAAGGGGAAGTGGGAAGGGGGAGTAAATGGACAAGTGCTAAGAGAGGTCGGATTACCAGTAATTATACCTCAGCTCAGTTTTTTTTTCATAAGACAACGTAAAGAAGGTATCCTGATTCTCCATTTTCGGTTTGCTTTTCTTTTACACATTAGTTTATATTGCCTTTCAGATTCCTCTGATGAGCTTGAGTGGTATTTTGCTTGAGATATTCAGCATGTGAGTGGCGTAAACACACCGACGAGGACTCAAAACTACCCAATAAAGAGACTGAATCCTTTCACATTCCTTATTGAAAGGAAGTCATTTCAATCATAATAACAAACTTTTTGAGGCTGATGTATTTTCAATATTTTATCCTTTCCGTTTCTGTGTGTGTGATATTTTTTTTTATTAAAAGACTATTTCTATAGTTTTTATTTTTTTTTATAGAGGGTGGGGAGAGCGAGCGTTGGTTTTGCAAGTATGAAAACGTTAAGGAAGGATATTCAGTCTTCATATGGCGTCCATGTTCCATTTTTCAAGGGCTCTCTTTCAGAGGCAAGACAGAAAGCCCAATCCGATAACAAGTACCTCGTTATCTATTTACATTGTCCCACTCACGAAAACACCGAGACATTTGTGAAGTCTGTTCTTGGTGATGACGAGGTTATTGCGCACTTTATAGAGAACAGCCTTCTGTACGGTAGTTCTGTCATGGAGCAGGAGGGCCATAAACTTTCCATAGAACTCGGAATAGTGACCTATCCATCCGTAGTGGTCTATCTCAAGGGAACCGTCGTGTTGAAGCTCCAGGGGCTGCATACAAAGGCCAAGTTTCTCGAGGAATGGCGGGTTTGCACAGGCATGTGGGATTGCATCGTGGCCGAGGAAGTTAGCCTGTGTTTTGAGCGCAAGGAGCGAGAGCGTATCCGACTGCAGGATGAGGAGGCCACGTCCGCAATGGAGAAGGCTGACATCGAACGACTGGAAAGGCTTGCGGACGAGGAAAAAATGCGAGAGGCGGAAATGCGAGCCACCGAAGAGCGTGCCACCAAGGAAGCAGTGCAACGGGAAAAGGAGGAGATGGAGGCTGTGCAGCAGCAGCGTGAGGAGATGGAAAAAGTACGGCTAATAGAGACGCGACGCGCTCAGGCGATGGCGCGCCTTCCAGCTGAACCACCTGCGGGCACCAACCCCAATTTAGTTGCCCTTATAAGTCTGAAGACGCTGAGCGGAAAGCAAGAGAAGCGCTGTTTTTTGCGCACCGATCATGTTGATTGCATCCTTGATTTTGCAACCTCGCTCGAGGAGAAAGATGAAGAGAAGCTAAAGTTGATTACCGGGTTCCCGCCCACTGAGCTTCAGTGGATACCTGGAGTTACTACAATCGGCGAGATTCCTAGCCTGTATCCGCGTGCAGTAGTATTATTACGTCGAGGTTGATGTTATATATTGATGTCTTAGTATCTATATTGATTTGGATGGTAATTTCCTTTCGCACAGCTTATTACCATTACCATTTGAGCCTTACTTAGTATTTGGATTTCATTCTATCCATTTATTGTGATTAGAACACCCCTTGAAACTTGTGCATTTGAGTTTAGGCTGATTCTCTATAGTTTTTGAGGGGATGTCATTTTAGCGAGATTCTTAGAAATCGAACAGAAAAAATAGCAATACGGTCCTGTGATCCCAATCTTTTTCTTTTCATACATCAACAATTCATAGGACGTCTAATCTGTGTTTGATTTCATGAGGACTTTCTCTGCATGCCAGGATCAACTCTGGTGGGTTGTCCTTTCGCTTTGTCTTTCTGGACTTTAGGCCATAATAGGAATAGGTATGATGTACCACACGTACCGATGCCTGGTTCGTTTCCAGCCCTACGCAATGGCCATCCAAACGCGATTTAAGTGGCGCCATAAGGAGACGGACCGCTGGCGGCGGCTCATGGACGCGACCTGCTTCCAGCTGGACTGGATGGGGCAGACGCGGGGCCCGAATTTCTCCCAGTACAGCGGACACTGGACGCACATCCTGAGCTGCGCGCACGTGGTGTGCCCCTGGGATTACCCCAATTATTACCCAACGACGGGCCCCACGCGCTTTGTCTCGCATATCACCCTGGCGGATACGATGACCCAGGTCCGGCTGGTGTCCCTTCAGGGCGTCGCCGTCCACAAGCACTTCACCTCTAACCAACACGTCTACCTCCACTCCAACCCCCGGCTCGACCTCTGCGTGGTCCACCCCGAGCAGAACCTCAAGCGCAGCGGGGAGATGAAGATGCTGTGGATGCAAAACGAGGGCCTCGTGATGCGTCCGAGGCTGGAGCTCAACGAGGCCCTGCGGATTGGGGATCACGTCTGGGTTTACGGGATGGCCGCACACGAGTCACTTTTTGACGAGGAGAATGGACCGGAGCCGCTGATGATTCCGACCGGGATCCGAGCGCGGGTTCACGCCGTGACCCGGGAGCATTTCTTCATCGATACCACTTCCATCGAGGGGGCGGATCGAGGACGGATTCAGATGGGAATGTGCGGCTCCGTCGTCATGCGAAACGGCAAGTGTGTTGGGATGCTCACAGCGATGGTGCACGAGGAAAGCAATTGTGCGGAGCTCGCAGGGACCGCGATGTGCACGTATTCGAGCGATATCTTCGACTTCATCCTAGAGGTCGAAAAGCAAATGAAAAATCCTCCACCTCGACAAACACCTGAGGAAACAGTATTTGAAGCGCGTCGCCGTGAGGAGGGAAAGGAGCCCGAGACGTACAGAGATTGGGAGCTGGACCATAGCCGCATAGCGCGGCACATTCCGGTTCCCATCTCACTCTGGCATATGGAAGAGAAGTGGATGACGGAGGAGGATTTTATGACCTCCCAGGTCTTTGGCCGCAGTGGAGTGTTTAACCAGGAGACCCAAGAATCGACCCTGGGCTATGACATGAACACGGCCAAGACGTACGGCGACCGCCCAGGGGATATCGCCACCTTCGATACGACTTCAGCTACTGGTCGACCTGTAATCTCCGGTGAACGAAAGGACTACAGCCCGACAGGTATTTATGCACCAGACGAAGAATTTAAGAGACGCGATGAGTGGGATGTAAGCCTGAACGCTGAAGTACGATCGCTCTTTGATAAGGTGATTGATGAAAAGGAGATCGAAAGTCTTAATATGTATCGTAAGTCCCTTGAGAACATCCGACTGCAGCGTGCGATGGAGAGTATGAAGGGCTCTGGAATCAAGTACCCTGGCGGAAACACCGGGGAGGCCTCGGAGGGTGGCCTTGGCTCTATGGGCCATTTCAACGGTGACGCCGACATGGGGCCTGCCAATTTTAACCCGGCCTATTTCAGCAGTGCCCATGAGGCTGAGCGCCGGGAGGGAGGGAACACGCAGGAGAAAGCGCCCCCGGGGGCCTCCCAATCTGAAACCACCACAACACCAGAAAGACAAGAGACTCCTCTGGAGAAGAAGAAACGCAAAAGGCGTGAGGAAGAGGCAAAACTCCATGAATTTCGACGTCAGCACGGCCAAAAAGCGACGCATTTCCTCGATGAAGATTTTTCAGATATCTGGAAGTAGCCCAGTCAACTTTTACATTAGCTGTGGTAAAGGGAAGGTTAGGTGAGTTTGAAGGAGGAACGCGATAATAGTTAGCCCCTAAATCCATGCTGAATGCAGGCAGCTCACATTACAAGGTATTATACAAAATTTTTATAACGATTGCAGTATTTTGCATACTTGCTTTTTATTATTATTTGTTTACACTTAGTGATAGGCGACTGGAACATTATTTGGGATAGGTTTGCCATTTTAATGTGAGTTTTGAAATTTCCCTAGATATCTAGGTATGAAAGAACTTTGTCAGCTGCTTGCTGCTATGATCATGATAGGATGCGTAGTTCCTATTGTTTATTATTAAGCAGGGAAATTCTTCAACTGAAATACTGAAACTTATTTAGTAGGTATATGCACGAATCCTGAAATGGTTTTCTTATTCGTTTTTTCCCCCCTTTATTAACACAAGTCGAATACATATATAAGTTCTCACCTTTGACTAAGCTTGGCCACCAACGCGTAACCTGTGCCTGAGCACGAAGTTGAGACTTGGTGGAATAGTTATTTTTAGGTTCTTTGAACGCATCACCTTCTCGTGTTGTGGGTCAACGTGCGCGTTATTGGTATTTTGATTGACTTACCCTGACGCATACGTGCAAATCAGCAAACCTATAAAAGACTCATTACTTTTCTGGCATTAGTTTTTTAAAGGGAATTAGTTGTTAACGAGTCAAAGATGGCCCGCGTGCATGCGATTGAAACCCGGATTGAGAAACTTAGCCCATCCATCGATGAATACTTCACTTGTGGGTTCCTCAACCGCGATGAGCTTCGGGAGGTGGTACGGCAGCGGCGGCACTGGGAGTACCGTTTGGTTGCGAAACCCCTGCTGCTTATAGATGTACAGGATGCCGTGCGATACGAGCTCGACCTGGAGCAGCGTCTACAGGTTTACTGTGAGTCTACCAAAGTCGAATTAAAACATCGCTGGATTATTATGGAGCGTATTGAATACATTTATCGTGTCGGCCTGAAGCATATCAAGAAGAAATCTGAATGGGAATTTATTCGAAAAGAATTTGTGACGTTTCTGAAGCGCCACCATCGCCATGGTTCACTCAGCAAACTGTACGGTGAGCTCATGATCAAATATCTCACTCGAAGTGATTTGTGGGTGGAAGCGGCGCTCTGGGAAGCGGTAGGTTTAAACAACGTTCACAACGCCCGCTCTATCATTCAGCAAGCCTTATTGACAATGACCACCGATCCGACGGTGTGGACGGCAGGATTAAAGGTTGAGCTGCATTTCGTTAACCACTCACTGAAGCGATTCATTGAAGAATATACTGGAGAAAAGCTGATGAAGAAAGCCCGAAAGGAACCATCACATAGCCCTTTAAAAGGTTCTGCTGACGTTGGCGAAGAAATGAACCCTGATAAAAAGGCCGAACCGCGAATCTCCGCCCAAATGCGTGCTGAAGATGAGCATCTGTCTGAGATAGTTCTTGACCTCGAACTTTGCAAGGTTATTGTAGGAGAAGCTCTTCAAGGACCCGCATTTAGCCCTATTTTGGTTACGCAGCTACTGACCGCGGCGGGCGAGTTTCCATTTACTAGGGAGCTGATCCTCGTGATTCTCAAAGACGGACAACATCGAATGCTTGAGGTGTTGGCAAGCGACCGCACCACCCAACGCGTTCGCACTGAGTGGCAAGAGGGCGGACTCTCAGCCGTTCTGCGACCTTTTATCCTGACGGAACATCTCTTAGTGAACGGGTACCTCGGCGCTCTCGTGGACTGCGCTACTTTTGTGGATCATGAGGGGGCCGTCCCCAAGCCCTCATCCGAGGCTCGCCGCACCGCGACAATGCGATCTCTTGCCACAGTCCTTATACTTGCGGTCCAAAGACCGCGAGGGATTATGAATATGACTGGGAACTTCACGGCAGTGGGGCAGCTACTGTGTACATCCGCTCATGAGTTATTGGCCACTGTCAAGGGGCACTGCAGCCGTGGGGTCTCTCGGATTTGCCTAACCCTCCTTAAAACGCAAACCATAAGCGTGGAGGAGGTCGTTCGGTTACTCTTGAATGTCAAGAGACTGAGCGAAAGGGAGAAAGTGACGTATGTAGCCCATGCGCACGATCGTGTTCAGGATCTTGAGCAGCTAGTGCGAGATACCTTAGGGTTCACTGCCGCCTCACCCTCTTCATCGCGCACGCCGTCCATGGGGGAGCCGAAAACTAATTCCATCGACTTGCATTGGCCGACCGATTTGTTGAGCGATCTCATCGCCCCTGAGGATCGCGCCGCTCTTTGGCAATCTCGGGACCGCGCCAAAGGATCGCCTGCGGCCTCAGAGACTCTCGATGCGGGCGCTTTGGATCGGTTTTTGCTCTGGCTTCGGCTGGAGGAGCGTGAACGACCTAGAGGCTCCAAAGCCGTGAGTACCATCCCCGCGTCGCAGCGGAAGGCAATTGAGAACTTTCTCAGCCAATATCGCCTGCTGCCGGCCTCATCCTTTTCAGACAGCCTGAAAAAGAATGACCCGGATGACCGCATCTTGTACCTTTTGTCGCGTAAACACACTCTTTCCTTTAGAGATAGTCAGACCACTCCACTTAGGTTGTGGCGGCTGTTTAGCGCGTTGGAAACGTTGCATCCACGAAAGCCTTCTTTAAATGAGAGCACCAAGGATGACGACGACGACGACGATGACGATGATGATAATGATGATGACAATAAAGGACACAATAATTCTTTGTCCTTCAAAAGTTTCGTCGAAGCTGGTCTGAATTTTATTGCTGGGATGACCTACGCTTCTCTTAGTCGTGCAGAACAATGGGAACGAGCTACCGGTATTTGCACACTTGTTCGAAGTCGCTTTTACACATTTACAGGACTTAAACGCTTTACACGGGAAGATATCCTTTCCTGGATGCGCAAAACAGAAAAAGCTTCTTTGCAGGCTGATGTGAAGATGCTTTTCTGTGAAATGTGTGACTTACTGCGTCCACCTAATTCTCAATTAGATCGCTGCCAGCCGCTCCCTCGATTCTGTTTTGTACACACGCTGCTTCCGTTTTTAGAGGCTCTTGTACTCTTTTACGAACGAAACATGGAAAATAAAAAGGAAAAAGAGGACGCTTTGTATCATGCACGCACAACACACGAACGAGTTATTAATATCTATCAACTTTCTAATCATCCAGAGGATTTTATTCCCCTTTTATATGACAGCGTTACGAAGGATGTAAAAGACGTAAAAGCGTCTCACCAAGTTGTGGAAAGTCTTAATACTAATGATTGGTTTTCTTTTGTGACCTTTGAGCGAGAAGTTGCGAAAGATCTTAATACAGCTCGGGTTGTCGCGGAGCGAGCGAGGCGCTGGGCGTTAGCACCCCAGCAGCTTCTCGTGAAGCTGAGTGGTGCCTGATATAGTCCTTTTTGAAGGAGGTTCAAACTAAAGAAAGTGAGCTTTCATGTGTTTTTGTATCATTAGTACGATTAATCGAAAATAAATAAGCTTTAAGATCGGACTAATTAATACTGTTTTAAGATAATGGGTAATTTCTACTCCTTTTTTATTATTTCTCGTCTCTTGCGCGATTCGAAAGTGTAATTGCTAACCTATTTAGCGTTATTTGAGCCATCCTTCATTTTCCTGTATGCTGCTTTCAAAATTATGCTTCACTACCGTTGTTTCCATTTCCCCCCTTTTATTCTTTCTATGGGTTTCACGATGTTGCATGCCAAATAACCATACAGAAGGTTTGAAGAGCTTGTCGTTGTGAGTCGCTTTGGGGTTTGTTTAGCCGATGCGCCTGAGCCGTGTCGCCCTTTCGGGTCTTCCGCTCAGAGGAATCTTCTCCAGAGCGGGCACCCGAACCTTCACCGATCGTGCATCCGCCCCGTCCTCCTCGAGCCCGAATGCAGGAAAACTCCATTCAAGCGGTACAGCTGGTAGACTAGCAGCCCCAGGCATTTGGGGGGAGCTCCCTTCCGGCCTCTACGCCGCTCTCCGCTACCGGCGGAAACGTTTCCCGCTGCGGCCCTCCCGCGAGGCCGTAGCGGCCCTCTCGGAGGCGCCCCCCCCCCTCCCCCTGGGACCCTCCTGCTGGCATGCCGCGTTGGGCAGTCGCGATCCGGGTCGCATTCTCGCGGCGCTGATCACCGCCCAGGCCCGGGAGCCCGCGATGTTGGACCGCCTCGTTGAGGCCGCACCCCGCGAGGGGGAGACGATTTTGGGGTTGATGGCGGCGTGTGTAGCCGTCGGCGTGGGGCCGCCGGGGGCGTGGCCGCCCTGGGTCGCCAGCCGCCTCGCGCCCTCGCGGTGGACGACGAGGCGGAGTCGCGGCCCACCCCCGACCGCGCGGCCCCTGAGGAAAGGGGAAGGGGAGGGGAGCGCCCACAGCCCAGAGCGTCTGGCGGCGGTTGCCGCCTTCACGCCGCTCGCCCGGCGCCTACAGGGAGTTCTTCAGGGGGTTCCTGCGAGCGCGGACGGGCCCGAGCGGGAGCTCCGCGCGGCGCTTGGGGTGATGGCGGTGTTGTGCGG